TAAAAAAATTAGATAAAAATTGGTTGGCCATTCTGGCCACGCCCTACCCCATTATCTAGCTCAGTGGTTCTTGAGAAGAATTTTTTTTAAGTTTCCCTATATTTTCCTATGTGAAACTTCCTTATTGTGGCCTCACCCTATCCCCAAGGGCCATGATTTGACAAATATAGTGTCTACACTACCCAAGGATGCCCCCTTAAGTTTAAGTTTTCTGGCCCAGTGGTTCTAAAGTAAATATATTTTTCCCTATATACTTAAATGTAAAACTTTAATTCCCTATTGTGGGCTCACCCTTCCCCGGGGTCAGGATTTAAATAATTTAGAATATACACTAATATCCCAGAATGCTTCCAAATAACTTTCAGCTTTTGCGGCCCAGTGGTTCTGGAGGAGAGTTTTTATAGTTTTTCCCTATAAGCATGCGCTTCGATGTAAAACTGATTGTGGCCCTGCCCTACCCTCAAGGGTCATGATTTGGACAATTTAGTGTCTAAACTACAATAGAATGCTTCCCACAAGTTTCAACTATTCTGGCCCAAAGGTTCTGGAGAATATATTTATATTTTTAATTTTCCAGTATAATTAAAATAATACTTGGATTCCTTTCTCCAAATTCCCAGTAGTCATGATTCAACCAATAAATAAAATTCACTATCCCAGTCTGCTTCTCTGGCCCAGTAGTCTTAATTTTTTTTAATATAAACTTCAATGTAAAACTTGGATTCCCTATTTTGTCCCAACCCTAGCTCCGGGTTTTTCAACAATTTATACTTCCCCAGGATGCTTCCCCATATGTTTCAGCTATCCTTGAAGTGATTCTGGAGAGAATTTTTTCCCCCTACATACTCCTCTCCTGGGAAGAGGACTTGGGCCTTTATTTTGACAATTTAAACTCCCCATCATCAAAAAGGTATACAAGCCTAATATATAGGTACAGAACATTAAACTCCCCTTTTCCACTTTAATCCTCTCCCACACAAGAATTATGCCTAAAGATAGCCCCCCGAATATCAATGATTACTATATATAGTAGTAAGACAATTTCCAGTTAAGATTGAACTTTCAGTAAGGCATAGCATTCTCAACATTATCTAATTAGGCTTACCTCCATTGTTAAAATATTCATTGCAAAGAAATTTGGATGAATGTAAACTGGTGAAGCAAATAGCTAATTAAAAGATCTCACATTAATTTCTTAATAACTAATGAGAATTTATTTGCCATTTGTCAGGAGCTAATTACATTGCACAGAGAATCCAACGCCTTACTGAAAGTCCAAGCTAACCTGTGAATTGTAATATTCTAGATCATTCATACAAGGCCGCTGTTTTATAATTTATATAGCCATAGAAACGTTCAATTTCTTTAGTTAAAGAAACAAATCGCTTAAAACACACACATTTGTAACAAAACTTGTGTGCTGTGCAATCATTAAAAATAATTCATAACCAACGTCATGAACAGATGTTTAAACAGTGCAGAAGTGACTTGTTTCATAACCAGGTCCAAAACAATCTGTATACCTTTATAGCTTGATTTAGCTTCATATAAAATAAATATATATGCAGTGTTTTTTTTTAAATATTGCTTGCAAGAAACATAAAAAAATTAACAAGTATTTTAATATATGCACTATGGGCTATCAATACAACAACCAAAATTGAAGATATTCCTTGCAACTGCAGCTTTTCAATATTATTAAACAAAAGATGAATTTCTATTGTGCGAGAAACTGTACACTACTTAATTTCATATAAAGAAGTAACTGTATCAGTTGCTGAAGATTTAGAATGTCGAATACACAGTCTCTCAAAAAGACACAATTTAAATTACTGAGTGTAATTAAGTACACCTTTTGAACACGCTGAGAAAATAACACATAGTGTGATAAAATTTTTCGGAATATTTAATAAGGCAATATTGCTTAATCAAGCTACATAGCCAAATCAAGATATTGTTCTGACCTGAAAACACTGCCTTGCACTGTGGTTTATTTCAAAGAAACAACAGAATGGACGATTTAAATAATTTTTATTTGTAGCTATAAAATGGTATGCCGGTGTCGTTTCGTCTTTGCTGGTGCTTTCACCTACTACTCATGACTTTACCCCACGCCCCTCCAGTCTCGTTACATCAAAATGGCGCGTACATTTTATTCACAGATTACTAAAACATTTGAGAATAGACCCTGGTCTCTAACAAGCATTTTGATATACTTACGATGACACACAGATGAAAGAACACGTTCTGTAACTTTCTGCCTAGTTTAGTCTAATTTGTTGTTTGATTCTGATGTAGAAACGTCGCAGGTTTCTTTGCGTCTGTTGCTTTGTTAACTGCGCAATTTATCGAGCTGCCAAAAGTAAACACAGAATGTAGGTCAAATAATCGGGTTTCGACGAGTCGTACGGTATATATTTCGAATCATTGTGACTTTTTAGATGATGTTAAAGTCATTAAAAAGATGGGTGTGTTTTTAAGACGTATTGTAGAAATGCAGATCAGAAAACAAAATATATTTAAAAAAAAAAAAACAGAAATAGCAAGAACAAGAAAAAAATATCAGACAATCTCTTACCAGAGATATTGGAACGATAATTCTGGAAAGAACGAGTACTTAGTACTAAAGATAATATTTTATTTACTAACATATCGCACATCATTTGTAAAGAGAGAAGGGGATGTAGAAATCCGTAATTTTAAAAATATTAGAAGAATAAAATAAGCCTTTCGAAATTTACATTTGACAAACAAAATGGGGGTGGGGAGTGGGGGGGGGGGTTGCACATAGATGCTTATTAATTATTAATACCCCTGTTCTTAAATTAATTCTACCTTGTCCTGAATTCACGAAGTAACGTGAAAGAGACATGTGTGTATATTTAAAAATTTCAGGATGCTTCAGGTAGGCCTTAAGTTCTTCAAAAAAAAAAATGATAATGTTTACATTCATTTCTGCCTTAAAAGACAAAAAGTTTGTTCTTCGTGAAAACACCAATAAAATAGTCTATATTATTGATATTGAAGTAGGCAGATATTCAAAGCCTTGTATCCCAAAAGAATCGCGTTTTTGTCAATATTGTAAAACTGTTGTAGAAAGTGAAATACATTTCATATATGACTGTCCCTTATATATAGATTTGCGAAGAAGTTCTTTGAACATCTGTAATTTAAACGATAACACATTGAAAGAAAATCATTGTAAAGTATTATGTAATCCTGACAATGCAGTTCATTCTAGAAGGCTGTGTGAATTTTTATATGAATGTTTTGAATTGCGTACAGCAAAATAAAAAGGTACTGTGCTTCACCGTACCTTTTCCGGGTTTCAATTCAGAGTTTGATATGATTTAATACAACCTCTGTAATACGAATAAGAAGAAACAAATCAGAGATATCTTCTTAAAAAATTTATTCATATTTAGAACAGTCTTTCAACAAAACACTAAAGTATGGAGTAACATTCCTCTGTAAATATACGCACATGTACGAGTGTGACAAAAACTTCACCCCTTACCTCCGGAGTAACAATCCTCCAGAAGACCATTTAATGCAAAGCTTCTGAAGTCTGAAAATTCACTACAGAGTAATATTCTTCTAAAGATATTTACAAATCTAAACTAAAACAAGAATGTTGTAAGGTTCAAGTAAGACAAAATCTCATTTACAGGGTAATATTCCTCTAGAAGATTTTGTACGATGATTATAAGAGAAAATCTTAACTATGTAGTAATATTCCTCTATGTGCAGCTCTACTACGACGAAACTTATCTACAGAGTAATATTCCTCCAGAACGCTAAGTATGCAAAGTTATATTGAAGCAATATCTGTATTACGGAGTAATATTCCTCCAGAAGGCTATACCTATGTATGCACAGCTCTATTGAGCCAAAATCTAACTACGGAGTAAAGTCTGTTAAGACAAAATATGAACTACGGAGTAAAAGTTTTCTATGTACAGTTCTGCTACGACAAACACTTATCTATGGAGTAATATTCCCCCAGAAGGCTTATATTACACAGTTCTATTAGGACTAAGTCTAAGCCACAGAGTAATATTCCTCTATGTAATGCTATACTACGACGAAAGTTTTTCGACAGAGTAACAATCCTCCAGAACGCTAAGTATGCAAAGTTCTATTGAAGCGATATCTAAACTACAGAGTAATATAAACGTCTGTTAATATCTACGGAGTGATATTCCTCTTGGCGTTCACAAACACATTTACGTAGTAATATTCTTATGGCCGTCTGCAAACGCATCTACGGAGTAACATTCCACTGGATGTCTGCAAACACATCTACGTAGTAATATTCCTCTGGGCGTACACAGACACATCTACGGAGTAATATTCCTATGGACGTCTGCAGACACATCTACGGAGTAACATTTCCTCTGGACGTCTGCAAACACATCTACGGAGTAATATTCCTCTGGGCATCCACCATCACATCTACGGAGTAATATTCTCTTGGACAGCTTTACTCTGCACTAACAAATCAAATTCTATCAACGGAGTAATATCCCTCTGGAGAGCTATGCGACGATCTAAAATGGTAAAAAATTATCTAAGAAATAATTTCTCCTGAAATGCTATATACAGCTCTTAAAAAGCTTATCTAAAGAGTTATGTTCCCCTAACCCGCTGTGTACAAATTTAAAAGGCAAAAACTTTTAAGAGGAGTAATATTCCCCCGAACCGCCAATGTACAGATCATCTAAAATGCAAAACTAAAAGATGGAGTAATATTCCCCCGGACGGTCACGAAGAGATCTAAAATGCAAAAAAAATTAAAGACGGAGTAATATTCCTCCGGACGGCCATGAAGATCTTAAGTGCAAACCTTAAAGACGGAGTAATATTCCCCCGTCCTGTTCTGTTGTCGTTTGCTACCAGTAAACTAGTTCTTTTTGATTGATATGGGACCAGTTGACTCGCGATGCATTTCGATTCATTAATGAACATTCATGAGTTTATTCAGAACATTTCTAAGTTTGTCGTATGTTGAAAGAAAAATGCTGTGTTCCGAATAGGTGTGTATCAGTTCATCCAAAAAAAACCCATACTTTTTTGCAGGGAATCAGTTTGTATTGCAGGGAATCGGTTTATTCACGGTGATTTTCAGGAAATCAGCAAAATATATCGATTTACTTTTTTATAGTGAAAAATCAGTAGAGGTATAATAAAAAGTTTTTTTAAAAAATTAAATAAAATGCAGATAGAATTAAACAGCATAGAATATTTATTGCCTGACGTCACGGCGTCAGGCTGTATAAGGATTGATAATTGCTGGATCCGAAACTAATAGATCATACCCAGAGAGCTAGATTTTGTGCAAGCTGATTTACATTGGAAATCTTTTACCTGCATGTTAAAAGAAACTTTTTTCAGGGAAACAATGATTTTACTGATGCAAAATAATGCAGTATTTACTTTGTTTACTCTGTTTATATGAAACAGATTATTCCATGTGATTTACCGTTTCAACGTGTCCGTGTATCTTTTTTTCTGCATTTCTATACTACTGGATCAGTTCATTTATATTCTACAAAAGGGGTGAATCGCTCTTTTCGCGCCAAATGTCACGAGTAAGCGATCTTCGCGCCTTTTCATGGATTGTTCTATTGTATGAATGGGGGTGCTAACTTCCATGGAATTAAATTAAGTTTGTTATTGTAACCACCATCTTCTTATGATTAAGAAATTCTGTCTACAAATTTTATCTTATTCCAACATGTGAATCGTATGTATCAGAATATGGACATGCAAAACAAAAGAAATGGTTTCTCTAATTTGTTTCCCCTCTGTTGGTTTATTCCATATTTTAATGGACTAGTCCATTCACCACAAACGATTGACGCAGTTCAACCAGAATCCAGACGATTTGACGAAAGAAATTACCTGTGCGAAATCTTAGACTTCTTTTCCACAAAGGCCTAAATGTTGGTTTTACCTATTTCGTTCTCAAAAAATTATAGTACCCACCTTTCAGAAAAAAAAGATCAATGATAACAAACTACTACTGTTTACTTCATTAGAGAAAATACTTTCCTACAGCATATGTATTTAATTATATCCATTCTATAAAATGTTCACAATGAATGATTTGACAACAGATTTCAGAATAGGTGTAGCTTTAAATTTAGATCCAGGGGTTACTGGGGTAGATCAATCTACTTGCAGAAAAGTCAATCGCATCAACTCGGGTCTTTTCGTCAGAGGTCGAAAAACAAACTCGAATGTATTGACATCATCGGATGTTAAAAATTTATACATTTCCTGTTCACAGTAAAAACGGAGTTAGAAGCCCCTTCTATAGTATATTTAGATAAAATCATTACATTGAATAAAGTTAACTCCATATTCCACAAAAAATAGGTCTATATACATCATCCATGCTTTTATTTCAAAGTTTGTGAAAGGGGGGGTATCATGACGTATAAATTAACAATACATTTGGTATGTGGTCTTTTTCCCTAGATAAGGCCCGAGGAGTGGGACCGAGGAGTTGCGATTGACAGAGAACCCACATACATTAACCATTCTGTTAACTCTTCAAAATGCAGCAAAGGCATCGTTCTTTTACAAGTTAAATAATTAAATATTTTTACAAGGTTCTCAAATAAAAAGACATATTTCAAACACAAAAAAGTATTGTTAAAAAGGTTTATCACTTCTCTTACAGATATTGATTGATTAAGTCAGGCAAGCTTTTTGAAAAGCTGTTACTTGTCACATGTATCGTTTCGGGGTTTTATATGACAACAGAAGTAAATAAACACTGATGCAGTAAGATCAATTATGGTCAAGCGATTATGTGTCCTCAGCGGGGTTTTGCATCAAAGCGTACATCAAGACCTTAATAAGAAAACATTCAATGTAACCATCAATTGTCGCCCGGGAAATATATAGGTAGGAATGAAAATGAGTCTTGATCAAAAAACCGCTTCGATATGTGCGAAAAGTCATGCGTCTATACAGTGTAACTGATGGAGACGATAGTCGCGAATATTTTGAAAACTTGTAGTCGGATAAAAATAAATCAAAAACGATACCATTTTAAACTTGATCAATTCCTGAAGTAAATGATGGCTGCATAAAATGTAAATTGAAGTAAGACACATGCATCACCTATATTCAAAAATGTATTATTTTTCAATTTTAGAATATAAAATATTACCGTTTTTTATGCGATAAGTAAAATTCGATGTATATTATGTATATCTCCTAATTTATGAACGGAAAGAACATTCTGATGAACAATCTTTTCAATATTTAGAAAACCATTAATTCTAAATAATTACTCCCACCCCATTGGCCAATCCCCATACACCAACACTTAAACTTATATGTATAAAGCAGCCCGGTCCTCCAGGCTTCAATGATATTTCCATCATTTGTGTTAGCCTAATAGCAGCCACGAAGCATCATTTTTGAAAGGGGGCAGCCAGAGAAAAAAAAATAACTTGAAAAAGTTGTCAAGCAAACACGAAAATCCTATTTCATGGGGGGTGGGGGCAACTTTTAAAGTGTGTGGGGGGGGGGGGGGCAGCCTTTCAGTGAACATTTCCAGAATTAAAAGTAATGTTGGGAACAAAGGGGACAGTCCCCCCTACCCGCCCCCCCCCCCCGTTGCTACGTGACATAATAGTACAACCATTATTTATAGAATATGACGCAAATACGGATACCTAATGAAAACCTGCATATTTTAAACAAATACTTAATCGAAGAAGACGGTAGAGAGTAAATTATAATTATTTTTTGACAATGTCAGATAACTTTGAAAATTTGATTCAGTGTTTGTATTGCCTCATATTCCTCTGGACGGCTACATGGATGTACAGCTCTAAAAAAATCTTAGTGAAAATTTCCCCTGGACGGCTATATTTACTCGTATTCAACATGTTCAAAAAAGTATATACGGAGTAATATTCCCTAAATCGCCTTTACACCGCTCTAAAGGCAAGAGTCAAAAATCTATCTGTAAAAAAATGGAAACATATTACCGGAGAAAATAAGGAATGATGTGATCCTGGGACAACACGTTTCACTGATTATATCTTGAAATAGCAGTAGGAAATGTCTATAAGCTACAGTGAATTAGATCTTTTCTTTGATAATCCCCCCCCCATTCCTTCTTATATTGCACATATATTGGGACGGCTTATCATTATTACTTACACTAAAAGTTGACTTGTCTGGTGCTCATAAAAATTGTTTTCAGTACAAAACTTATCAAACTTTATCCTAGCATCTGATCCTGGGATCTTGAAAGTTACATTTTTTACAGGTCGATCTCTTCGTAATGTACTCAATGTGTTTGTATGCTAGATAAACAGATTTTGATGTCGAGGAAAAAATAAAAATATATCTAAACAGAAAAAATAAACTCAATTCTAGTATACTCTAGTTTTGCTGTTATGATATTTAAACTTTTGGTAGAATCAGCGTACTTTATTATAAATAAAAATATAGACTCTGTCCATAAGATCTATTGTCTTAGCATTTTATGGTCCAGAAATTTACAGGATTTTTTTTTTTGTAGAAGCTTCCCTTCCTTACCCTATCTGAAGATAAAAACATGTTTTTTTAATGCGATTCTTTTAAGAAGATCATGAAGAGTGCATTAAAATTTTAAATTGCTCTCATAATTTGCAATTGTTAAACAGATAAATGCTGCTGAGAGTAGGGTTCAAGAATATTACGATAAATGTTTACGACGATTGACAAACAGTGGTTGTAAAACGCCATCCGTAAAAAGTGGAGCATAATTGTATATAATATGTTCGCAATAAAGAATATACTCACAGTGTGTGGTTTATAAACCATCCTGGCTTCACATTTCGTTCAAAATATTTCCAATATGCTGAATCGGGCAAATGTCCGAACTTTTCATCTATATTTTGTAGGTTTTTAAAAATAATTCCTCTTCCGGTTGCAGCCAACAGTGGAATGAACACATGATAAACGAAATTACCGATGGGGTTCATCATGTTCATTAGAAAGATAAATGATCTCCCCGAAACCCCGACATGGCAGTGCTGTTGAGCATTTAGACAGATATATTCAAGAGAATAAATAAAAATATCACTGGCACATTGATCTACAAAATCTTTGATTTTTTTTTTTACATGTATAATGTAAAAAATTAATAAAGAATATTTATTAAAAACTATAATTTAAATAAAAAAATTTTTTGGATAAAAACATAATAGATTAAGTACAACAATTATTTGTAAACACAGATGACTGGTTTTTTTCTAAATTAGGATTCATCTAGTTAAATTTGTAAAAATAATATTCGTGCAAGCTTCGATATAAGTTAAGTATTTAAATACAAATGCAGGCGCGGATCCAGAAATTTTATATAAAAAAGGGGGGGGGGGGGCAAACATGCAAAACCTATTTCGGGGAGGGGGTACTCGATTACATTTGAAACATCATACCTATAGAAATTTTTATATCAACTTAAAATAGATCCTTGTTTTCAAGGAGGAGTCCGAGGGGTCCCCGTTTTCTAGGGGAGGTCCAAGGTTATTCATATTTTCATGATTTTACTTGGTTAACTTCCTTAAGTATATACATTGAAAAACCTTGAAATTCCGGGGGATCCGAACATTAATCGTCATCCTTATATAATTAGATACATGTTTATTGATAGAAATAGTAATATTTGTAAACTCCTTCACGCTTGATAAGTCTAGTAAGGAAAAGAAAAATAATTAACAATAACAAATAACATATCTCATATTTCATGTATACTTACATAAAATGCAACTTTTCAGGAAATATGAGAAGCAAAGTGGTAAAAATTATGATTATTAATTAAAATAACCCAGGTGCCGTAAATACACGTCCTTATAAAAATAAAAAAAAATCAGAGTAGAATACGACAGGT